CTTAGAAGGCGCACTTCTCACATTTTTCACAATTGACTTCTTCTGTTGAATGTAAATTTCAACTATTTCAGAGCGCTCGCGTGGCGTGTATTGGTTCATGGTTCATTCTGCTTGGACTGACGCTTCAACCGCGGTATGTCATTAAGCGATGTGACATCTCTGTCAAAAGTTATGGCGTTGCCAGATGGGTCCGTCAAATATGGGCAACCATGTAACTATGAGTCTATCTCGCTTCCTTCTCTATATTACAAAGAAATGCACAAAGACATAATTCCCCTAATACTATGTGGTGTAGGGTATAAAGAGTCAATGTTTGAATAATCATAACACATGGCTGAGGGTATACATCTGTCGGCAAATTTGACGGATACTTTTTGACTCGTTTTACTTTAAAATGAACTGAAATTGTGTATTTATTAAAGAAAAAACTTTTGTCTATTATTATTTTAATGGCTCAATCAATATTAAAATTTGCAACAATTTGTAAAATAGTCACCATGATCTATAAAAATCAAAACTATAGACAAAATATAATTTTTTATGAATTCAATAAAAAGTGAATACAAAGAAACACGAAAGGAAATCCAATGAAGTGAGAAAGGTCAAAAAATAGCAGAGATAAGATGATTGAATAGCGTGACAAATAATGAAATATTTCAAACGTGGTATCGGAATTTAAAATTGGTCTTTATTAACTTGTAAAGTTCACATGTTGATCCCAAGATCGATGGAGGGTGTTGGCCATGGTGGCAAACCGGAATTGCATTTTGCCATTTATTAATGCCATACAATCTCCAAGAAAACCTAAATTTTAAATTGAAAAAAAAAAAAACTATTAAACAAAAAAATTAAATAATAATAATGCAGCCACCGATCATTTCAAACTTTGTCTCTTACTGGTTTCTCGTTCACACCTTTCCATTGAAGAGTGAAATTTCCACGCCATTTCATGGTTATTTCCATGACTATATTTTTCCACTTTGATTTGTTGTCTTCATTATTTTTTTGTTTTTTTTTTTTTCGTTTTCTTCAATTGGCTATGCCATAATTGACTTTGGACCAGAAATCATGGACCATGAATATGCCGGACTGACTGAAGTTGGTTGGGAAGTTTAAGACCAGTTTTTGCGTGTTTATGATAAATGGTATTCAAAGATGAGATGAATATCAAATAAAATCATCATTAAGATAATGATCATTGCAGATCATTGTCTCATGACAACTAAGGGAAAACTTTTATAATTGCTGTTGTTGTTGTAGTTGCTTGAATAAGTTATTTAGGAAGGCGATATTCGAACCATTGTTTGCCGTGGAAAACAAACATCTGCAATTTACATCTTTAAATAGTTGCTTTGTTCGCCACAGAAGCCAATGGGAACCAGTGAATTTTTGAAGATGTAATATGATCCGCCGGCATTCGTATTATGTAAAATGACAAATGGTCTATTGTTGTTGTTGGAAAAATAAAAAAAAAAAATTAAAATATAAAAAAATTATGACGATTAATAGTAATTTTATATATTTTGTTATATAACATAGCAATTTACAACAAAAAAGAAGTAAAAACATTAAGTTCGACCGGGCCGAACTTTTAATATATACCAGTAAGACCGTCTGTATAATGCAGTTAAATGCAGTTAAAATTGTCCAAAAAAATAAAGTGGGTTAGGCCGATATATGGGGCCATACCAAAACAGGAAACCTATAGAGGTAAAGGTACCATTATATATATACATACAATGTTTCGCCACCGGAGCTAGAACCCACAAATAACAAAATTTTAGACAAATCCGCGAAAAAATGTGGCTAAAACCATCAATATACAGGGTTGCCCATATTCGACGGACCCATGACTCTTTGGGCCCATTCCACTCGACGAGGCTTGTCCGCAGGCAACATTCTTTGCGTCAATTGAATTTTGTACGGGAACAAATGCAAATCAATGCGAATAATCCGTTGTAAAGTGGACCGAGCCATGCCCAACTGCTGAGAACGGCGTTTTTGGGATGTTCTTGGGGACCTCTCAACACTGGCTCGTACGGCAGCGATATTCTCGGCCGATCGCCTTGGTCGACTTTTATATGGCCTCTTCGGATTAGAAAGAGCCTTACCAGTCGAAAATTTTTCGTATAAACGCTTAATGGTGTTCTTAGAAGGCGCACTTCTCACATTTTTTAATGTTTTAAAAGCACGTTGAGTTTTCACAATTGACTTCTTTTGTTGAATATAAATTTCAACTATTTCAGAGCGTTCGCGTGGCGTGTATTGATTCATGGTAAAAATCTGCTTGGACTGACGCTTCAAACGCGGTATGTCATTAAGCGATGTGACATCTCTGACAAAAGTTATGGCGTTGCCAGATGGGTCCGTCGAATATGGACAACCCTGTACCTAATATCGGGAGGTACCATTGTATGGAGCTACAAGAAAACGTGGACCTATACGTGTAATGTTCCGCCACACGAGCTAGAACCTATTATACCCTGTTATATACTGTTTTTTAGACAAATCCGTGGAAAAGTATGGCAAAAATCATCCAAATACCGAATATTGTAAGGTACCGTTTTATGGGGACTAAACCAAAACGTGGACCGATATATCTCATTTTCAATACCAACCATCCTAGACACAATACACATTGTTCTGCTCAATTTTGACGCTCTACGTCAAATAATGTGGGCTATATCGTAATTTCAACAGACAGACAGACAGACGGACATCGTTGAATCGACTTAGAAGTTTATTCTTCTAAGAGTAAAAAATATTAAATTCGGCCAGGCCAAACTTTTAATGCCCTCCACCTTAGGATAAAAGAAACATTAGAAGAAATGTGGCAAAAAACATTAAAATGCCGAATATCGGGAGGTATCGTTATATGGGGCCTATACCAAATCGTGGACATTTACATGCAATGTTTCGCCAAAGAAGCTAGAACCCATTATGACTCACAAATACCAATCTTTAGACAAATCAGTGAAAAAATGTGGCAAAAACCATTAAATTACCGAATATCGGGAGGTACCGTGAAATGGGGGCTACACCAAATCGTGGACCCATACATGCAATTTTTCGCCACCGGAGCTGGAACCCATTATGACCAACAAATACCAATTTTTAGACAAATCCGTGAAAAAATGTGGCAAAAATAATGAAAATACCGAATATCGGGAGGTACCTTTATATGGGGGCTATACCAAAACGTGGACTTATACATGCAGTGTTTTGTCACACGCACAGGGACTCGTTATGACCTACAAATACCAATTTTCAGACAAATCCGTGAAAAAAATGTGGCATAAATCATCAAAATACCGAATATCGGGAGGTACCGTTATATGGGGACTATACCAGAACGTTGACCGATATATCTCATTTTCAATACCAACCATCCTAGACACAATACAAATTGCTCTACTAAATTTTGGCGCTCTACGTATAATATAATAATGTGGGCTGTATCGTGATTTCAACAGACAGGCGGACAGACAGACAGACAGACGGACATCGTTAAATCGACTTAGAATTTTATGCTGATTATGAATATATACTTTATGGGGTCTACGATGAATATTTAAAGATGTTACAAACGGAATGACAAGGTGGAGGGTATAAAAATGCAACAAAGCCAAATGCCATAATTTTTACATTTTTTATTTTAAATTTTATTTATTTTTAGAATAAGTTTAGATTTGTTCGAATTGATCACCTTTGGCACGAATTGTGACCTTCAAAAGGCCAATAAAACCGTCACACTCTGCCCGAATGTTGCTCTGCGGAATTTGGCCCATTCCCGGTGAAGCGCTTGCTGGAGGTGATCGACACTTTGGTACTTTTAGTGCCAATCTTGCTTTTCCAAATATTCCAGACACAATAGTCCAACGGATTGGTATCCAGAGAATTTGGTGGCCATTGTTCGCTGGAAATGAAGCGAGGATCCTCATTTTGTAACTATTTTTGGGTGCCTCGTGCTGAGTGCGATGGTGCTGTTGGAATGTCCAAGGTCTGCGGCAAAATGTTTGCGTGCCCAAGGCTTTAATACACCCTCCAAAATATTTTCGCGATAATATTCGGCATTTATTCTGATGCCATGGTCGATTAATACTAGCGGAGAGCGACCATTGGCTGTTATGGCGGCCCACACCATCCCCTTGGCCGGCGCTTGAGTTCTGGTAGCCAATCGAAGGTGCACATTTTCAGCTGACCTCTTTGGCAAGTCAACACGATCACCTTGTTCGTTTACAACCTGCTGGACAACGAACGTTTTCTCATCGAAGAAAACCAAATTCGGCAGTTCACCACTTTCGGCCAAGCGAAGCTCTTTTGAATCTAGTTTCTTTCTGTTGCGGTGTAAGTTCTTGAACTTTTTGGAATTTCAATGACTTTACCCTGAGCTCATTTTTCAATATTTGCCGAATGGAATATTGCGTATGTTCAGCTCACCAGCCATTTTTCGGCCACTGCGACGCATGTTTCGATCAAATCGCTTCTTTACCAGTATCACGGTAACGAGCGATGGTACGACACACAAAAGATTTATTCACATTTTAATGCTGGAATGCTCTAACGATAGCCACTTGTGGTTTTCCAGCTAATTATAAAGAAATCACACTATCACGCTTGAATTCCATCACGATTAATTTTTTTTTCTGGAAAATTCTCATCAAAATGCTTTTGCAAATAATATAATGAGCTGTCAGTCGGACGAGTGACTTAGAAATGACAGCAGTCTAAAGTTAGTTGCAGTTTTTTCATCTCACCCTGTATTTGGGGAAAACGTGTGTGTTTTTAGGCTTTATTATTCTTGTTTATATTCATATTTGTTTTCTCAGGAGACGTTTGTATTATTTTCTACCAATATATGATCATATCGTTGTTGTTATGCTTGATGTTCCCTCACATTCTAATACCATGGATTTCAAAACGTTTTTACTTGCTGCTCATATATTTTGTTTTGATATTTTCTAACTTTCGTGTTCTATTTTTCCCCTTTCTCTTTACAGGCAGTCTCATTACAAAATCCTGGCGTTCCTATATGGATGAATTGGACCAACAAGCCAAACAATTTAAATTCAATGCCGAACAACTCGAAGTGGTCTGCGACAAATTGGCCCACTTGTACCAGGATAAGCGCAAGGCCAAGAAGACATACCAGGAGGAGCATACAAAAATTTCCGCCAGATTAAATCATGTAAGTCGTATGTTTTTATTACAAATTCCTGTTTACAATAGAGTAAACTATTATTAAAAAAAATTAGAAACAAAGCCGTGCAAGCCGTGTACGTAATATTGTTAGTGTCATTTCTCAGTAGAAACATCCGTTCTCTTATGTCTTATTTTTCTTTACGTTGTTTTTTATACCCTCCACCATACTATGGAGGGTATATTCATTTTGTCATTCCGTTTGTAACTCCTCGAAGTACTCATGTCAGACTCAACAAAGTATATATATTCTTGATCAGCGTAAAATTTTAAGACGATTTAGCCATGTCCGTCTGTCTGTCTGTGTGTCTGTCTGTCCGTCTGTCTGTTGTAATCACGTTATCTTTCGAACAAATTGAGATAGAAGGCTAAAATTTTGCAAACGTGTATATTTTGCCAGTAGGCAGGTGAAGTTCGTAAATGGGCCATGTAGGTCCAAGTTATCATATAGCCCCCATATAACGGTACCTCCCGATATTCGGTATTTTGATGATTTTAGCAACATTATTCACCGGAATTGTTGCAAATTTGGCATTTGAAGTACGAAATGGATACTACAGCCTAAGACAGAAAATTATCTGTGCAGGTCCACGTCTTTGTATAGCCCCCATATAACGGTACCCCCCGATATTCGGTATTTTGATGATTTTAGCGACATTATTTAACGGAATCGTTCCAAATTTGGCATTTGAAGTTCGAAATGGATACTACAGCCTAAGACAGAAAATTGTCTGTGCAGGTCCACGTCTTCGTATAGCCCCCATTTAACGGTACTTACTATATTCGGTATTTTGATGATTTTAGCTACATTATAAACAGATTTTTCTTCAAGTTTCGCATTTAAATATTGTAATGACTTATGACAAAAGTTGCCTATGCAGGTCAACGTCGTCGTATAGGCATTCGGTATTTTTAAGATTTTAACATAATTTTTAACGAATTTTATTTAATTTTTTTTTTTTTTGGAAATTGCCAAATTTGTACCGAATGGTGGAGGGCATTAAAAGTTCGGCCCAGCCGAACTTACAGCTTGTTTACTTGTTCTTTTCTTCATTTCGAATAGACAGGCATAAATGAAACCACAAAACTGTTAGAAATACCATAAATCGGTTGATGTGTCATGGCCTTCTAATCTACGGCCATGTGACTTGTCATCATTGAGGCTTGGGTACAAAAGTACTTAGAATCGGTGGTAATACTAATTTGAATGAAGCTTCTATATCAAAACATAAAATTCGTTATAACTAACATTAATTCAAAATTAGAAAGTTCTCCAAAAATATTGTTTCCTCAAAGTTTTCGGAGAAAATTTATTATTTCACTGCGGACGACACTGACTAGACCCATAAAAATCTCTTATTAATGAGCATATTCAACGGCAATGAGAAAATATTGAAAAATATTAGAAAATTCATTTTCCACTTTGGCGATGATTCAGTGCCACTTCCCAGAAGAAGCATGGCAAATGCTATCCTCTGGCGAAAATGTACTCTCATGTTTGCCAGCAACAACTCAAACATGGTGTCTTGGCAAAATAGAAATAAATTATTTGTCCATTAGAGGTTGTTTTTGGGGCCAGGAGCAAAGTACAACAGCAACCTGGTCATGGTCATAAATACAGAACAACGCTGCAACATGTGTGCACGAACACGACTACCAACCCGACCAACTTCCTTCCACCTACAACCAACTAACCAGCTTTAGAGGTTTTTCATGATTTTCTTTGTTTAAAATGTTCATGTGTGTGCCAGGGTGAGTTTTTGTTGGAAATTACTCTAATAAACGTAAAGTACTACCATTAACGTAAAGATAGGTTAATATCGGACCGGACAAGATTTCTTGCCTGGACATGTCATGGCACAAGTGAATGCTTGACTACATTCTCTCCAGTGTGGTGGTCAACATAGCCACAAGTAAAAGAAGGGGGGAGGTTGCATGTAAACACTCGATGCATTGACCATGAAATATTGATGTAAAGTCGGTGCCGAACAGGTTTCCTTCTAAAATTCTACGAAGTAAGTGCTGCTGCTGCTGCTGCTTCATAGGTTTGCTTAATGGTGTTGCAAATGTGTGTATGTGTGAGTGCCTGTTTTGTAGATAATTCCATATCATTGAATTTTATAAGTTTATGATTTATGATATGCTGAAATGACCGAAGGGTGGCAAGGGCGCTAACAGGGGGACACAGAGGAAAACACGAAACAACATGGAGTTATAAGGAACATGAATATGTTCAGAGATTTATGTGTCGATTGATTAACCCTTTGAGGAGAGCTGTATAAAATGCTCGATTCGAATTTTTATCTCAGCAAATAGGATTTCTGAAATATTTACACATATTCTAAATGCATAGATATAGCGTATACACTTTATCTTCGCCGTATAAGTTACGTAGATACATTTCCACATTATGTAGATTACTTAGATATTATCTGGTTTTTTAGATACATTATCAAACTTATCTGGTTTGTTAGATACATTTCCGTGTCATGTAAATTATGTACGTACATTATCCACATCAAGGAAATTACTTAGATACATTCTCCACGCCATCGAAAGGACTTAGATACATTGCCCACGTTATGAAAAGTATGTAGATATATTATCTACTTCAAGGAAATTACATAGATACATGAGCCATGACCTGGAAATGAAGTAGATACGTTATCCACGTCATGGAAATGATGTAGATACATTACCCACATCATGGAAATGACTTAGATACATTATCCACGACATGGAAATGAAGTAGATACATTATCCACACCATCGTAATAGCTTAGACACATTATCCACTTTATGAATATGATGTAGATACATTATCTACTTCATGGAAATGACTAAGATACATTATCCACGACATGGAAATGAAGTAGATACATTATCCACGCCATCGTAATAGCTTATCCACTTTATGAATATGATGTAGATACATTATCTACTTCATGGAAATGACTTAGATACATTATCCACGACATGGAAATTACTTACATGCATTATCCACGTCATAAAAGTGATGTAGATACATTATCTACTTCATGGAAATAACTAAGATACATTATCCACGACATGGAAATGAAGTAGATACATTATCCACGCCATCGTAATAGCTTATCCACTTTATGAATATGATGTAGATACATTATCTACTTCATGGAAATGACTTAGATACATTATCCACGACATGGAAATTACTTACATGCATTATCCACGTCATAAAAGTGATGTAGATACATTACCCACATCATGGAAATAACTTACATACATTATCCATGACATGAAAATGAAGCAGATACATTTTCCACGCCATGATAATGTATCTAAGTCATTTTGATGGCGTGGATAATGTATCTACTTCATTTTCATGTCATGGATAATGTATCTAAGTCATTTCTAGGAAGAAGATAATGTATCTACATCATTTTTATGACGTGGATAATGTATCTATGTCATTTCGATGGCGTAGATAGTGTATCTAAGCCATTTCCATGATGTGAAAATGAATCTATATCATATTCTTGATCTACAGGGTGAGATAAAAAAAAAAACTGCAACAAAGTCAAACGCCATAATTTTAATTTTTTTGTTAATTAGCAAAAAATGTCAGAAACGGCTTAAAATTTTAGAATAAGTTTAGATTTGTTTGAATTGGTCACCTTTGGCACGAATTATGGCCTTCAAACGGCCAATGTAACCGTCACACGCTGCCTGAATTTTCCTCTTCGGTATTATGACCCATTCCCGGCGAAGCGCTTGCTTGAGGTGATCGAAACTTTGGTATTTTTTAGTGGCAACCTTGCTTTCCAAAATACTCCAGACACAATAGTCAAACGGATTTGTATCCGGAAATTTTGGTGGTAATTGTGCGCTGGAAATGAAGCGAGGAACCTCATTTTGTACCCATTCTTGGGTGGCGCATGCTGAGTGCGATGGTGCTGAGTCCTGTTGGAATGTCCAAGGTCTGCGGCCAAAATGTTTGCGTGCCCAAGGCTTTAATACACCCTACAGAATATTTTCGCGATAATATTCGGCATTTATTCTGATGCCATGGTCGATTAATACGAGCGGAGAGCGATCATTGGCTGTTATGGCGGCCCACACCATCACCATGGCCGGCGCTTAAGTTTTGGTGGCCAACTGAAGGTGCACATTTTCAGCTGATCTCTTTGGCAAGTAAACCCGATCATTTTGTTTGTTTACAAATTGCTGGACCACGAATGTTTTCTCATCTCACAATATCATCAGCTGTCCCTGGAATAATTTTAACAGCTGTCGAACGAGTGGCTTAGAAATGACAGGAGTCTGAAGTTGGTTGCAGTTTTTCCATCTCACCCTATAAGTACAAATTAGTTCTATATGTTATCCACGCTATCCGGAGTGGTGCCCAACATTATTATTATCTACATTATCCAAATGAGTATTATACATTATCCGCGTTTTCTAAATAATATATAATACTCATTATCCACGTTATCCAAAGTAGTACCATACATTATCCGCTTTATCCAAATGAAGGGTATACATTATTCAAGTTATCCAACTGTATTTTTATATTATCCACTCTATCCAAATGAGTATTATAAATTAAGCACGTAATACGAATGAGAAGTTTAGATTATCCACGTTATCCAAATGAGTGTTATGTAAATTCTAGAAATATGACTAAATTATTTAATTCCTCTCTCGGATTATCCACTTTATCCTCCAAAAGGTTAAATCATGCAGTATGTTACAAAGAAACAACTCTGCAAAAAAAGCGAACTTTTTATCTCGTTCCTTCGCTCATTCATGTTGCGGTTGCTCGCTCGTTCGCTGGAACATATTTTTTACAATTTTATGGAGCATTTTCGTTCGTGCGGTGTTGTTGTTCGCCATTTGCCAAACATATGTCTGATGTTTGCGCTTAATGTCGTTTATGATTCAACGTTATTTATTGCAAGACGGACGGACGGACAGACGTAGAGACAGACAAAAGCAGCATTAAAATGT